GCAACTGAAGTCAGGCTTTTGCCTGCCAGTGAATTTAATACACCAATTGATTATGTCCACTTATTTCAGATCTTGTGCTTTTTCCAATCAAATAAGCTAGGATTAGGGTTGTCAATCAGTAGTTGACACCTCTGCAAATTTACATTCCCTCAACAAAATCACAACAAGATTATTATATTCATGACAAATAAAAACTTTTGGGATGTGAAATTTCAACACTAGTGACAACCAAAAAAGAAACAAGTTTACTTATGGGTTCATAACAATAAACTCATAGGATACTCATGGAAGATATACAGAAAATAGGATTTCGAAAGAAATATAAAGATAGATAGGAATTAGAAGAAAAGTTATTTATCTCCCATTTTGTTTGAAAAGAAATTGTTAGTTTTGCAAAACCTGCAACAAAGGAGAAAAGTTGACTGTCATATTTCCCAAATGATCACACTATCATTAACTACAAATATGTGAAAGGATGTCACAAAGAAAAATATCAAGCCCCATGCCCTCTTTCCTTTTCAGAAATTATCAATAATTCCTGTTTTTCTTCAAAATATGATATTAAAGAATAGAAAACAATTATTTAATTAGAATGAAATCCATCTAACCTAGAAACATTGATCTGGGTCTGCACCACATATGGACCACCAAGCAATCTTGTGTGGTTTGCCAGCATTTGTTAAAAATTCACCAGCACCAGGATGGATCCCCTGCTGCCATCACCATCCCTTCAGGCCTCACCACCAGCAGCAGCAGCTCAGAACTGCTTCCACTTTGCTAGCTGCCAAATTGTTGATAACTGTCCCAGTTATTCTTTTGTAGCCCAAAATTATTTTTAATTTGTTATTGTGGTCCTTTTCCTTCTACAAGTTTTGCTAGCCTGATATACTATATAATGAATAGTAGTATTACTTGACTTTAGAGCTTTTTTCCAGTTACACTCCTTTGAAAGAATATAGCTATTTTGCACTAGATATACACTGAAATTTATTTTAAAAGAAATTGTGGCTTTGAAAAGGCTGACATAAAAATATGTCATCAAGCTAAGAGGTACAATTTCCTTTTTTGAAGCTTAACATTTATTAATATCAGCAACTATAATCCTTGTTTCCCACACACCATTCCAAGGCAAGTTCTATTCAGGTCTTTGAAACCTCCAAGTATGGGAGGGAGACTAGGACATGTATGGTCTCTCCCATCCACTTAAAATCCTATCCTCATGTCAACATGAGGAAGCTGTGATAGAAAGATGTGAGGATAGTTTTCATATGTCTGAAATGGAGCTGTAATATAAATGGAGCAGCAGTTAACAAATAAATATAGAGCAATAATTGAAACATAAAGAAGCCAGCTCATGAACATCAGCCTGGTTGTTGCAAACATTTTAAAAGAACTTTGTCAGGGTGTACATGCATGGCAGTTTTTCAAAATATGGTTTTAGAACTTGTCTCCTCAGCTTCTTTTTCCAGACAACCTCAAGGAGAATATGTGCTAAACAACAGGTTAAAAAAGAAGCAGAAAATAATTATTTCTTATATTTTTATATTTCCCAGGAAAGAAAGATCTCTACATATTCACAGTATAGAACAATAAACTTGTTAGAGTACAGTAAAACATGTACTGATTCAGAGGATTTTAAACATTAATATAGAACTGAAACCAGAAGTTTTACTCTTGGGACTGAGGGATAAATAGTTGGGGAAAAAGTCATAGAACTTCATTTTTGTTGTTGATAACTGCAGTGAGATATTGTATGTGCAAAAATGGAAAGATCTGGCAATACCTACAACAGAAATGCTTGGTGAAGATGTTGCAGCAGATCTTGCTGAAATTTTACCACTGACCATAAACTGCTTAAGAACTATTTGCATAAAACAGAAAAAAATGAACTTATGATCTATTGTTTTGACCATTAGATAGGATAGTTTATAGAAAGAAGAGAGTCACAATATAACTTTAGAGAAAGAATTACATTAAATCTACAATTGCATTAATAACTGCTGTAAAGAAAATCAGAATATATTTTTTCTTTGTATTCTTGTTTTCTTTTTGCACATCAGGTTTCTCTTTCCCTCTTCCTTTTTTCCTTTCTTACTCTATTTTAGTTTGTATCAATATTTAGTCTTATTTTTAAAGCTTCCAATAAAATAATATTTTAAAAATATAGTAAAACATAGGAGAATGCCAAGAACCAAACTTGCAATTTAAAAAGAACCAAAGAACTAAAATCTATTGCAGAGGAAAGATTTAAAAAATATGCACAACTTTTAAAAGGGAAAGATTAAAAAACCATGGAAGAATTTAAAAGGAAGGCACCAGAAGATGAATTAAAAAACAACAACAAATAATCAGTAAGTGGGATTTCTAAGGACAGCAGACCTTTACTACTAGAGCATCTCCACTGAATATCCCACTGATTAGCTAAATAAGAAGCTACTAAAATATAAGATAATTGCCACCGAAGACCTTGCTGATGAAAGGAGCAGTTAAGCAGCATGACAGATTGCTTGCATGTAGCATGCTTTAAGGAAACACTCAGTAACAAAACAGGAAGAGAAAGACCAAGGAAGGGCACACACTTTGAAGTGTAATTTTATGAGTATGATCTAACTTATGATTCCATATCAAATGACAATTCACGTTTAAACATCTTGAGTGTTCACTTTGACACTACTTCATTTCTATCTAAGAGCCAATTATATTACTCTATAATTGATATCAAAAGCAGTTTGTGAAATACCTGCTAGTGTTCATTTTAAGCTGTTATTGCCAGAAGTATTTAATAGACCGGGAAATATCCTTAACTCACAACATTCATGTTAACATATAGAAGCACAATAAAGTAAGTCAAGGACAAAGGAGACAAACTGAAATAATGGGCACTGATGAATGGTTAAAAAAATGATTATTCTAAATCAGGGGTCCCCAACATATGGTTCGTAGCCTAGTATCAGGCCATGGCATTTTGCCACCAGGCCCGGGAATAGCTGGCAAGCCCCCCCCCACTCACAGTAGCACCACCACACGGGCACTAGTGGCCCCATTTGTGCATGCACGTGAGCTCCAGCGGCCCACTTGAGCATCTGCACGGGCGCTGGTGCACACACCGCGGGTGTATATGATCCGGTTGTGCATGTGTGCACACACTAGAGCTGCCATAATGCACACACCTATTTGTGTATGCACATGCGAGGCTGCATGCATGCAAATTTCCCTGCTGCTCTCTTTCCTTCGAGGCTGCCAAACCAGAAAGGTTATGGAGCTCTGTTCTAAACATTAGCCTTTGAAGCAACTAAAAAGGAATGATGGACTACATGCATTAAACAGCCTGAGATTTTAGATTTCTATTATTTTGAAAATGCTACAGAATATTTCCTTAGTCTTCACAATAATTAAATTTCATATGAAAATACGGAACAAACCTAAAGTGTTGTTTCTCAAGGTTAAATTACTTAAATTGGGGTTTTGTTTTTTTTATGGCCACTTTTTATTATTTATCAACTAAACAGTAAGCACTTGTGCATTGCACTAAGTCTGCCACATGTTATTATGAAATGGGATGCACCCACATGAATAGAGTGAACTGGGAGTTCCTGGCTACCATGAAAAGGGTTCTAAATCCTGAACCTATATCTCAACACTCCTGAGAAGAGCTAATATGGTGATGATGGCACCAATCCTTTATCTCCTCTTTGCCTTAGTCTTCTACAAAAGTCATGGCAATCTTTCTTTCTTCTTTCCATAGTTGACTAGATGGGAAGCCATGTATTCAATGGTCCCTTTCCCCTGAATGGAGGCCACTGAGATTTTAAGAATATAAGACTTTATTTTGTATATCAAGATCAGAAACCATGAAAGGGATCCAAAGGCAAAATAACTGCTTCTGAAGAGACTGATTAAGTGAGTTGTTTCCTTAGCCCAGAATCTCTGAAAATGTCCAAAGGCTAAGAGATCACAGTCATAAAATAAAATAAAATGTACGTCATATCTATCAAAGCTTCATTAATGTCTAATTTGCCAATAATGCCCTGATCTGCAAGCCAGATTTCTGTGAGTTTGGACTTCTTTTCTTACTTAGTTTTCAGCCAATCTCAAAAGAGCAAAAGCAAATCCTTTTTTAAAAATAAAAAAAAATCCTGGAAAAGTCCTATTCCTGACTGACTCTTCAGCATTTGCTTTCATTGTATTTTGGGTATCTGTGCCCATGTCCCCGGTTGACAAGTTGGATTTTTCTTGGATACTGTCAGTATCTGAATCTCTTAGAATGTAATTTCATCCCATTCAATGCATATTACTTCCAAATAAGGAAGATTTAAGAAAAATGCAATGTAAAGGGTAAAAAAAAGCCACTATCTGCAACAAAACAATTCAGAGTTTGATATGTACCAATTTTGTAAAAGATCGTTTCTGATATTGTGTTTTACATATTGTACTTATATGGTACAAGTTGATTGTGATTGGCTGTTGAAAACAAAGGCCCCCCAAAAGTAACGTACTGTATGCACCTTTCCCTTTGAAAAGCAAGGCAGTAAAATGTGACAAAAAATAGACAAATTTAAAGTTTATAAAAAAATGTTTCAGTGGCTCAGTTTATATATGCTACAAAGCTTCAATATCTTTTACTTAATTAAACAATTAATATACCACTTTTTATCATTATTTTAATTTTTTTATAAATTGCTTTGATACCAAAAAAAATAAATCCTTACAGAACTTGTCAATAAAAGTGTAACTGGAAGTCAATATTTTTAATTATCTGGATTACAAAATGGAAAGCTATGCCCAGTATCTAAACTAAAAGAAATGTAGAGTTAGGAATAATTCCAGGACAATTACCAAATAAGTCCTCTTCCTTCAACAGAGGCATTGGGCAATGATACTGATTTTGTACACTTTTACCATAAGAAAGGGAGCATATTAAGAATATTTTATTAGTGCATATAAATCCTTAGGAAGACAGATGACTCAAGAAAATTGCAAGGGACAATGTAAATACCTACCTAATTTCAGAGCAGAGGATGTCACTTCAATCTCTCCACCAATGGGTTGAAATGCCGCTAGTTGGGCAGCTACATCAGTCTCAAAGGCATCTGGGCTGTTGCCTTCTGTTAAACTACCATTGGTGTCATCAGATTTGGGGAATGCATCTTGTTCGTCATACACAGCAATCAACTGTAAAATAAAGCAATATATTATAAAGCATTCAGAGTTAGAATAGGATTCCTCTAAGGAGGCATACTGCCATATTACTATTTCATTCATATCAATAGTGGGCTATAAGCTCATTAGAGTTTTCTATCTTCCCCTTCTTTTCTGTTATTCTTCCCCAAAACTCAGGAGATATTCTTAAACAACATTTATTAGCCCAATCCCTAGGGACATGTGATTTTATGTTATCTTACAATCAAGCAACTAGTAAAATCATTGAATACCACTCCACAAATGAAGGAAAGGGTCCCCATTCATCAAGATAGGAGCAAAATCAGATTAGGACAGGCAAATAGGATAAGAGATAAACAGTTAACAAAACCACACTGATCTGTTTTTACATAAAACAATATGCAATTCTCCCCAAGAAAGGAACTCCATAGGCATAGCATTACTACAGAGAAAACACTGCTCCCTAAAATCGCTCATAGGTGTTAGGGTCACAAGATACAACAGTGGATGCTGTTAGGATGCATGGGTCTCAAGACCAGCACCTTGAAATGTCTAAAACTAGGTAATCTGTGAAATGATGTCACAAGACACAGAGAAAGATACGTTAAGATTTCTAAAATAGAACACTAAAAGATGTACACATACTCCAAACACAAAAGACAGAGAGGGACAGAACACACCAACATATATGAAACAATATTAATTAAAAAATCAAATACTGAAAAATTTTCGCACACAATTCAAGTTACAACATTTATTAAGAGTAAACAATTATTTTTTAATCATATATAATGAGATTGTATTAAAAAAACAAGGAACTGATCCAAATAATATTTCATATTTTTGCTACAAATCTAATTGAAACAATTGTTACAGGGGAAGAGTAACCTGTGACACAAATAATGCTAAAACACAACTCCTTAACACTTCTTCAAACTGGACATGTTGCCTGGAATTTAAAGTCCAGTAATCCTATTCTTCTGATATAAAAGAGAGAAATTGATTTTTTAATCACCTAAAGCAGGGGTGTCAAACTCAATTTCATTGAGGGCCGCAACAGCATTGCAGTTACCCTGAGGGGGGCCGGGTGGGTTTGGCCAGGGTGGGTGCGGCCTACTGGGTGCGCATGAATGGAGTGAGTGTGGCCTATAGAGTGGGCATGGCCAGCTCTACACTGGTCGCTTCAAGGGTGCCTGTGGGGGCCTGGGCGGGACAGATCTGAGGGTCTCTGGCAGAAGGGGGGGACCAGGGCAAGTGCCAAGGTATGGTCCACTGGAGGAGCCTCACTGTTCCTCTCAGGCCATGGGGGGAGCTTATGGAGCTAAGACTGAATGTGCTTCAGCATAGATGGCCACAAAATTGTACATTGGCTCCCGGCCAGCCTGGGCCAGGGCCAAGGCAGAGGGGGCCGTTCCCTCACTGTTTCCAGGATGGCTTCATGGGCCACATGAAACCACTTCGCGGGCTGCATCCGGCCCCCGGGCCTTGTGTTTGACATGTCTGACCTAAAGGTATATTAATAACATCAAGATATATTGTTCTATATGCAAACTAGGGAAGTTAGAGCTAAGAAATTCATACAGTCTACACTATTATTCATTTTTTTCTATAAGGCCTTCTCTTCTCTGTCAAGGGGTAGTACCCCAAATTAGCTTACAATTAATATAAGCAAAAAAGGAATTAAAACATAAATTCTAACTGCTATAGTCTGGATCTTTCTGCTGGTCAGTAACAAAAGTAATATAAATAATATTAATTCAATATATGATGGAATATAAAAATTCATTTATAAATGAAGTAATCATGAAGATTTTGCATGGAAGCTAGATTATTTTGAAATAATGAACCACACAGTGTCTTTAAAATACGAAGCAAATCACATTAATCTCTCATTATTAGGACAATCCAAAGATACTATGGAAGTATATTTACTGCAAAAATGAATGAAACCATTTACATGCCAGTATCCTAGCCTAAAGCCCTGATATGCTGGTGAAAGTATTGGGGTTTTTTAACATTTTCACCAGCTAAAGCTTTACTGATTTCCAACATGAGTTACAAACTTCAGGGTGTTTTCAATCAATTTAGAGAGAATGAAAAACCCTCTCTGAATTGTTTCCAAATGTATCTATTTGCCAATGCAAAGGCAGGTGCCAGTAAAACACCCTCCCCCATGATTCCACATCTGCTCCGGAGGATTAGGGGATCTCAGGAACAGACTGGAAAGTGCACCAGGGTTGCAAGCAGAACACAGCAAAGTATATTCACTCACAGAACATTATGGAAGCTAAGTGTGTTCCAAATAATTACTTTTCTGCATATGCAGAGTCAAACCAATGATGAACATGAAATTCTAAATGTAAGCTGCACCTGTGTGGGGAGGGGAGGGAGTACTTAATATAGAATAGATACTTAAGGGTTCCTTAGGCTTATAGGACCATATCATATCTTAAAAACAACCTTTCCCATATGGGCCCATTTTTCCCACCTTCCGTAATGTGGATTCTGTTAAGGAAACAGAAACTGTATCTTTCCAGTATTTTCTGCATGCCCAACCTGAGTGCCTAATGTTTTATTCCACCCGGTGTCATCATGAACTGCAAGATGAGCAGCATATAAATTTAATAGATAAATAAATAAACTTCAAATACCAAAAATGGGTTAATCTCAGAATTTACTATCAAAAACCCTGGTAAATTGTCTGATAGAAAAATGACAATTTGATTCCTATCTCCACATTTGGAGAGGAGGCTGACCAAGACAGGATATCTATGTGATCTTCTAACCTAATTAGCAGGCTTGTCCTCCTCGATTCCATTTCATTAAATTTATCAGGAGAGTAAGACCTGTGCAGACAAGATTTTTAATGCGGGAGAATGGCAAATAGATATGGGCTCAGATAACAAGAATTGTGGCAACAAAAGATGCTGGGTTACCATTAGTATGGAAGAGGAGGTGTCTCTATTCATCCTTTAGAAAAGATAAAAGCTACATACAAATGAAAGATCATAAAGGATAACACCCCAAAATACAACATTTTAACAACATGAACCAGACAACTAAACCCCTTTAAGTGGAAAGAGAAATATTAGAGTTTAAATATTTATATAATTGTAAATCAGGGCAATTAGTTTATACCAGCTGATTTCAAACATTTCCAAATGATTAGCTTTCAATTAGTTTGGAAAAGCAAAAAGAATCCTATTAATCTCTTTCTAAGTGTATGTGTACAAAACTACATGAGGTTACTGCTTTAAAAATGCACCTTTTTTTCTTAATCCCTAGAGCTGGAAATGAAGGAGGAAAAGTGGTTTCAACATATACAGCCAAAACCTGCATGCAATTAAATTCATCAAATCAAGTACTGCTATTTAAAAAATGTGTATTTTACTTATGAACATACTAAATAAATTAAGTGAGAGAGATTGGAGGGATAGGGGAGATATAACATATTTTCTAGAGTTTCCTTAAGAAAATACCAAAGAATTATGCTGTTATTACTATTAAATTACTTTTTAATTGTTCTGTAAATATTTTTTTTCTACTGTCCCTTTAAAAATAATGATTTTGTCCTAGATTCTGATGGTCCATAATATTATGTGCCAGAAGGCTTTTTTTTTCAAAGAAGTGTAATCAGTCAATAACTGTTTATATATTCTATATATGTAATAAAGTGCTAGAAACATGTTTTCCTCATGCTACTCCAGCTTAAAGTAAGTGAAGCAGCTAATAATCCAAAGAAGCTTTATCTTTGGTTTCACTATTTAAAATAGCCTTTATAAATCAAAGTCAGAATCCAAAAGGCAATATATACTAATTAAAAAGACTTGATAGCTTACCTTTATGTTTATAGACATTTTTAAAATATCTTTTTATATCTTTTTTTAGTGAAGCCAGGCAAAATCACATCAGATACCTGTACAATTAGCACAGCGGGCCCCCAGGGCTGTGTGCTCTCTCCACTTCTCTTCTCTCTATATATCAATGGCTGCATCTCAAAAGATCCCTCTGTTAAAGTACTGAAGTTTGCAGATGATATAATAGTGATTGGCCTCATTCGAGATTACAACAAATCTGCATACAGACGAGAGGTTGAACAACTAGCCTTGTGCTGCAGCCGGAACAATCTTCAACTGAACACACTCAAAACTGTAGAAATGACAGTAGGCTTTAGGAGAAACCCTACTATTCTATAACCTCTTACAATACTAGACAACACAGTATCAACAGTAGAGACCTTCAAGTTTCTAGGTTCTATAATATCTCAAGATTTCAAGTGGACACCTAATATCAAAAATGTCATCAAAAAAGCACAACAAAGAATGTTCTTCCTGTGCCAACTGAGAGAGCTCAGACTGCCCAGGGAGTTGCTGATACAGTTCTACAAAGCAATTATTGAGTCTGTCATTTGCACTTTTATAACTGTCTGATTTGGCACTGCAACCAAACAAGACAGACATAGGCTTCAGCTGGTAGTTAGAACTGCAGAAAAAACAATTGCTACCAGCCTGCCTTAAATTGAGGACCTGTATACCGCAAGAGCCAGAAAGAGGGCTATGAAAATATCTACACAACCTGGAAATAAATTATTTCAACTTCTTCCCTCAAGACAACGGCTATAGGGCATTGCACACCAAAACAACTAGAGGTAAGGATAGTTTTTCCCCCAATGCTGTCACTCAGCTTAACAACACTGTCAAAATACCTAGTAAAGCTGTATTACTATTATTCTCATCTTTCCTATTATGTATTCTTATCTTCTTATGACTATAACTTTGCTCTTTGTATCTTACAATTTATATTTTTGTACCCTAGTATGATTTATATTGTTTGCTTAGCTCAGGGGTAGGCAACCCAAAACACTCAAAGAGCCACTTGGACCCGTTTCCCACCAAAAACAAAACACCAGGAGCCGCAAAACCCTTTTGATATCTAAAATGAAGATAACACTGCATATATCCTTTTTTACCTTTATTATAGGTGTGTGTGTGCTTGTGTGTGTGTGTATATATATGTGTGTGTGTGTGTATGTATGTGTGTGTATGTATGTGTGTGTGTATATATATATATATATATACACACACACACACACATACATACATACACACACACACACG